ATCCTACAGCCTTCCGGACTCCATATTGAGTTCAATAATTTTAGGGCCTAAACTCTCCCATGTCCCAGCCACCTACCCCATACACCAGGCCTTGTTACCACATAGCCTGCCATTACACACCCCCTGTTGTTAGTCACTAACAGTCCCCATTAACAACTATTCACCCTCCCAGCCTGATCATTTGCAACTCCTTTGTCCGTCTAAAAGGCATTAAGGTGGACAAGTCCCCGGGTCCGGATGGGATCTATCCCAGGTTACTGATGGAAGCGAGAGAGGAAATAGCTGGGGCCTTAACAGGTATCTTTGCAGCATCCTTGAGCATGGGTGAGGTCCCGGAGGACTGGAGAATTGCTAATGTTGTCCCCTTGTTTAAGAAGGATAACAAGGATAATCCAGGTAATTATAGACCGGTGAGCCTGACGTCTGTTGTGGGGAAGCTGCTGGAGAAGATACTGAGGGATAGGATCTATTTACATTTGGAAGAAAATGGGCTTATTAGTGATAAGCAGCATGGTTTTGTGCAGGGAAGGTCATGTCTTACCAACTTGATAGAATTCTTTGAGGAAGTGACAAAGTTGATAATGAGGGAAGGGCTGTAGCTGTCATATACATGGACTTCAGTAAGGCGTTTGATAAGGTTCCCCATGGTAGGCTGATGGAGAAAGTGAAGTCGCATGGGGTCCAGGGTGTACTAGCTAGATGGATAGAGAACTGGCTGGGCAACAGGAGACAGAAATTTGTGGTGGAAGGGAGTTTCTCAAAATGGAGAACTGTGACCAGTGGTGTTTCACAGGGATCCATGTTGGGACCACTGTTGTTTGTGATATACATAAATGATCTGGAGGAAGGTATAGATGGTCTGATTAGCAAGTTTGCAGATGACACTAAGATTGGTGGAGTAGCAGATAGTGAAGGGGACTGTCTGAGAATGCAGCAGAATATTAGATAGATTGGAGAGTTGGGCGGAGAAATGGCAGATGGAGTTCAATCCAGGCAAATGCGAGGTGCTGCATTTTGGAAGATCCAATTCAAGAACGAACAATACGGTAAATGGAAAAGCCCTGGGGAAAATTGATGCACAGAGAGATCTGGGTGTTCAGGTCCATTGTACCCTGAAGGTGGCAACGCAGTTCGATAGAGTGGTCAAGAAGGCATACGACATGCTTTCATTCATCGGACGGGATATTGAGTACAAGAGTTGGCAGATCATGTTACAGTTGTATAGGACTTTAGTTCGACCACATTTGGAATACTGCGTACAGTTCTGGTCACCGCATTACCAAAAGGATGTGGATGCTTTGGAGAGGGTGCAGAGGAGGTTCACCAGGATGTTGCCTGGTATGGAGGGCACTAGCTATGAAGAGAGGTTGAGTAGATTAGGATTACTTACATTAAAAAGACAGAGGTTGAGGGGGCACCTGATTGAGGTCTACAAAATCATGAGTGGTACAGACAGAATGGATAGCAAGAAGCTTTTTCCCAGCGTGGGGGATTCAATTACTCGGGGTCATGATTTCAAGGTGAGAGGGGAAAAGTTTAAGGGAGATATGCGTGGAAAGTTCTTTATGCAGAGGGTGGTGGCGCCTGGAACGCGTTGCCAGCAGAGGTGGTAGAGGCGGGCATGATAGCGTTATTTAAGATGTATCTAGACAGATATGTGAATGGGCAGGGAGCAGAGGGATACAGATCCTTGGAAAATAGGCGACAGGTTTAGATAGTGGATCTGGATCGGCGCAGGTTTGGAGGGCTGAAGGGCCTGTTCCTGTGCTATAATTTTCTTTGTTCTTTGTTCTTTGTCCAACTGCTCTTCTCTCTCTTTGGGCTCTATCCTGTCGTTTACTCCCTACGTCACCCACCTCCTCCCTATTTTCTGCATGTAAACTGATATTTTCCCAGCCACCATCAGTTCTGAGGAAGGGTCACCGGACCTGAAACTTTAACTCTGTTTTTTCCTTCACAGATGCTGCCAGACCTGCTGCGCTTTTCCAGCAACTTTGTTTTTGTTTAAACAGCTCTTTTCATTTGACTGCAAAAGTTGAAACACACTGTTCAACATGAGATGCAATTTTGCATTTGGGCAGCATTTGATAAACATTCCTGGTTGTGCTAAGAATTACACTGACAGTCAATTTTAGGATTGCCAGTCAGATTCACAGTGCAGTGCTCTTTGAGGGCAGAAAGAACACTTGCACACACTGTGCCTGTTTCCATTCAACACAATAGATGAAAGCCATTTGCTGGGTCATTCCTCAATGCATTGACCGATCAGAGTCAACCTGCCTGTTTTAAGTTAAGAGACAATAAGGTGTAGAGTTGGATGAACACAGCAGGCCAAGCAGCATCATAGGAGCAGGAAGATGGTTTATGCATAAAATGAGCAATTTACGAAGTTCATTAGTCTGATCCTGGGTTTGGCGGCTCTGTTTAGTTAGGAGAAACTGAACAGGTTGCGCCTATAGTCTTTGGAGTTTAGAAGAATGAGGGAGACATCATTGAACCAACAACGTTCTTAGAAGACTTGATACGGCAAATGCAGAAAAGTTGTTTCCTCTTGTGGGAGAGTTTAAGATCAGAGAGCAATGTCATTTCAGGGCAGAGATAAGGAGGAATTGATG